ATCCTGGAGGTCAAGGGCCAAGAACCAGTCCCCTCATTCTGGTGCTGGAATTATCACTGATAGTGTGACCATCCTAAAATCACTGAGTCTTCACAAATTTGTTGAATCTTCTTAAGTCAAGAATGGGCCTCCATCCTCCAGTTTTTTTCTAGGTTAGAAAGTAATGGGAGTAGAAACCCTTCCCTCTGTGTTGTATTGGTACTGGTTCTGCTGCTCTTAGAGGCATTTGCGATGGTTTACCTCCTGTCATAGTAGATGTTCATGAGAAGGGTCCCTGAAGAGGGACGGGGAGGGAAGTATATTGGATGGAATATCCAGTCTCGATGATTTCTAATACCCATTTGTCTGATGTGATGTTTCGTCACGTTGGATGAAATGGAGTCAGACGGTCTCTGAATGGATGGATGTTGTCGGATGGGCCCAGCAACAGAAAAAGTGGGAGATGTCTCTGGTCCTCAACCAAACCCTGAAAACTGTTGTTTAGAAGGAGGTTGTTAGGACATTGAGGGCTGGAACGGGAGCAGTATCTCCAGGGAATCTGCAATCGGCTTAAACAGTTCCTGGAACTGTTTAAAGTCATTCCCCATTGTGGATGGGAGCAAGGTAGAAGATTAAATATTTGCAGCTGGTGTGATTTCCTGATCCAAAGTCTCCCCCAATTCCTCAACTGCCTCTTCCGGAGGTTCTGAAGGTATGGGTACAGAGGATGATGGGGAATGCCTTGACTTCTTCCTGAGTGGATTGGGAGGCTTAGGATAGTGTTGGTGGTATGCCGCCCCTGGGTCCCAGTAAGGCCACTGTGGTGGAAATGGCATAGGTGGGGCATCCATGGACGTCTGTACCATCCTTGAGTTTCAGGTCTGGGGTGGTATTCATGGTACTCTGGTGGAGCTGGTCTGGTAGCTGGGTGAACAAGCAAGGAGTAATGGGAGGAGTAGATATCCTCTTCATCATCATCATCATCCACAAGGAGCTGATCTGGGTGGTGTGGTAAGCTGGCACGGTACCGAGCGTGCTGGAGTAAGGTCAGTACCGAGGAGTGGAGATTCTGGTGCTGAGGAGACCAGAAGATCTTTATGGCAAAGAAATTGCAGAGCACCAGTACCGATGAGTGTTGTCGTAAGTGGTACCGATGCCTTTACTGCGACTGTCGGTGCCAAGGGTTGTGCGCTATGCGCTGTGGAGGCAGAAGGTGGTGCCATAGACTGCGATGCCATAGAGTGTAGCCCAGCTGCTCGGTGCCACATGTTTGAGCAGCTCCAGCAGTACTGAGGCAAGGATGGTAGGTTTCCCTGTAGTGCCTTTTTCTGTGTCAGCCCACTTAGGGTCTTTGGTTCACATGGTACCCGTGATAATGGATGGTCCCGCTACCTCAGAGTGGACAGTCTTGGTGCAGTTGGTACCAACAGGGTCTGACAGGTCAGGAAACATTTCTTTTTGGCAGATTCCCAAGGAGGGGAAGTTGGAGCAAGTTTCTTTGTTGCCTTTTTGGCGGAGTGCTCCTTCCTCTAAGAGGGTGGTGGGGAATCTCTGCCAGATGCTGCCATTGGAGATTGGGGCCGAGGAGGGGTCCGTGATCCTGGACACAGAGACTTCTCCATCATGAGGAGTTTTAGCAGTAGGTCCCTTGCTCTCCTGGCATGAGCCTTGAGATTGTAGCAGTGGGAGCACTTTTATGGTATGTGTGTCTTGCCAAGGCAGCGAACACACTGGGAGTGCCCATCAGACACCAGGATTGAAGATCAGCAAGTGAGGCAACGTTTAATACATGGGGAGTTGGGCATGCCCCTTAGTATAGGGTTTTTCCTGTGAGGGTAACTATACTATACTAAGGGGTATCTGAAATAAACTTAAATTCCTAAGAATTTTATTTTAAAGAAAGAATAAATGGGGAAGAGGTATGGTATTAAACTATTAACTAACTAGTGTTCTAAAGTTAAGCTAGACTAAACATAAAGTTCAGAGGCACTGCCAAATGTTCCGTCTCAAGCCAAGGGCGGTAGAGAAGGAATTGAGGGAGGGTTGGTCGCACAGCACTATATAACTGCCTGAGATAGTGCGAGACGGGGACAGCACATGTGTGACCCAGTCAGGCACGGCTACTAAAAATCTCCAATTACAAATGCAGGGGTGCAGATTCACCTATAGTGGAGCACCCAAAGGGACACTCCTCGAAGAAGAATCTAAGGTTTCATGTGTGTTGCTTTGGAGATTAGCCCTGTCATTTTATCAAGGGATCCTGGTTTCTGCCCCTTTGTTTTACATTACTTGCTCTTGAACTTTTAACATGTAGGAGCAGGAAAGCACTAGAAGAGAATCAGGCTATGTCTACACTACAAATTACTTCAGAATAATTTATATCACCAAGGGGTGTGAATAATCCACACCCCGAGTGAAGTAAATTACGCCAACCTAAGCATCAGTGTGGACAGCGCTACGTTGGCAGGAGAACTTCTCTCGCTGACATAGCTACCGCCTCTCACAGAGGCAGGAGTTATTAGGCAGACAGTAGAGCTCTCTCCCGTCAGCATAGTGTCTTCACCAGAAGCGCTACAGCGACGTAGCTGCATCGGTGCAGAAGCACCGCTATAGCTGCTGTAGTGTAGACAGTCTCAGACCAGCACATTGCTGCTGTAAGACGACAACTTTTATCTTCTACAATAGTTGAAATAAAAAGGTTTACCTGGTTTATGTGACTAGTACAGCAAGAAATCTAATCTATCCTAAGAAAACACCACAGAGTTGAATGATAATTTAAGTTAGCTGAACACTTAGATAATATACCAGTCCACTTCATAACTACAGCAATAGAGTTATTGATGCATCAGCACTGGATCTAGATTTTACTGAAGAATCTAAATGAAGGTTTACATAGTAGCTATCATTTATGAAGTCAGGTAAAAATACAGAACCCAATGCTGCACATACTTTCACATGTAATATTCTTGTTAGTAGTTCTACTGACTTTTGTGAAAACATCAGTGGAACTACTCATATGATTCAAGTTACTCACATGTGTTAAACTGTTTGCAGAATCACGTCCATAACCTGAACCATCATCAGAAGTTTTTAAGAACTGGTTAAACAAACACCTGTCAGGGATGGTCTCTGGGTATATTTAATCCTGCCTCAGTGCAGGGGGCTGGACTCCTATTGAGGTCCCTTCCAGCCTTATCTTTCTATGATTTTATGATTCTATGAAATGAAATTTCAGGTATCTAAAAAGGTGGCATAAGGAGGAGGGAGAAAACTTGTTCACCTTAGCCTCTAAGGATAGAAAAAGAAGCAATGGGCTTAAACTACAGCAAGGGAGGTTTAGGTTGGACGTTAGGAAAAAGTTCCTAACTGTCAGGGTGGTTAAACACTGGAATAAATTGCCTAGGGAGGTTGTGGAATCTCCATCTCTGGAGATATTTAAGAGTAAGTTAGATAAATGTCTATCGGGGATGGTCTAGACAGTATTTGGTCTTGCCATGAGGGCAGGGGACTGGACTCGATGACCTCTTGAGGTCCCTTCCAATCCTAGAATCTATGAATCTATGAAATTATTAAATCTTTACCATCAGTGTACCTGACAAATAGATAAATATAGTTTAGCACCTCAACACCAAGACTCCAAAACAAATCCTTCTGTTGTCTAGCAAAAAAACAAAAACGTTTGCCGGGCATGAGTTCTCTGAGTCCCAAGCATGGCTCTTCCCTACTCCCAACAGCCCTCTGGCATGGTGGTAACCTGGCCTCTGGAGAACAAGTGACTTCCTGTGCACTCCCATGCCCCATCAGCTCAAACCCGTTTAAAAAATTATATCAGGGCATGCTAGCTAGACTATTAGACTGGCTAGGAAAACAAATTTTAAGGCTTCTGCTATTACATTGTAATTACCAAACTAGCTCTTTAAACTAAATGAAAACATTTAATAAGCAAACCAATCTTACACGCACCTCCTAAAAAGACTTATCTACTCAGATCTCACTAGGACACATCAGTATTTTATTGAGCTGCCACACAAGACAAATTAAAAACTGGATTTTCATTCTTAGAATGGATGAGGCACAACATACTCTGATGAGTCACGAGCTTGGCTATCATACACCATAGCAAGTATGACTGTCAATGAGTGTGTGTATATATTTTATCGTCTTCACAAATTCATAACATTCACTTATCAGTCTCATCAAAAATGTTTAAGGAAAGGTTTGGTGGTCATTAGGTGGGGGTGTTTCTCTTTCCAGTAGATCTCTATGCAGAATAAGTCAACCTCCACTCAGACTTAAATAATCTTGGCCCTCTACTGTCAGAGTGACAATAGCCAGACTGACTCCTCATATTCCTTCCCCCCTCCAAGATATCTTTAAACTCACCTACTGTTCTGCCAGTCAAGGACAAGATGATATTCACTCTGATTTGACGCAAGAGAACACCTCTCCTTACCTGACCAGTGAGCCACTGACCACCAGTCCTAGAAATCCTCTGCCCTGCCCCCATATGGTGAAGGGTACTGGCCAGGACTAAAACAAACTAAAGGCCATGTCTGTATGTACAGCGCTGCAGCAGTGCAGTGTGTCTGGGGAAGACGCTCCATGCAGACAGGAGAGAAAAAACCCCCATCTCTGCAAGCGGCATAAGCTATGTCGGTGGGAGAAGCGCTCCTGATGGCATAGCGCTGTACACATGAACACTTATGCCGGCGTAACTTATGTCGCTCGGGGGAGGAATATTTACACCCGAGCGACATACGTTTTGTGACATAGGCTGCAGTGCAGACATAGCCTTAAAATCTTGTGCTTCTTCCAGGCACGGCTCTAACTAGGCACAAAAGTTTTAATGTGAAAAAAAGCAATGAACATTTGCGCATCCACACAATCAAAATAAATGGCCCCAGAGAAAGGTATGTCTTACACTGAAGACTAGGCTGTCATTTATAAGCTACCTGAATAATGTCAGCAGAGTCTTCACATTGACTTCAGAGTCACTATTGTACATATAATCAAGCACTCACATAGCTGTGTTTTTGATGATTCTTCCTTGGTCCATTTTCTGCCCAATACCATGCACAACAAACACAATGTGAGTAGTTTGCGACGGCTTGTCTTCTAATGTAGCTTCTTCTACATAGCCTCTGTGAAGCCTTGTCCCACTACTTGAAGCTGTAGGGAAAAAAACAATGACCCTGGATCACAATTGTATTCCATGAAGTATGACACTTCCATATACACGGACAGAAGAGGTGCCAGCTTCAAACCAGAACATTGCAAATTATATTTTGCAAATAAAATACATTTTCAAAAATCAGCATTCACAATACTGAGATCTTCAAAGCGGCCTAAGGGCTCTGGATAAACAATTTCCATGACCCCTATCAGCCACCTATGGATTTACATGTCATTTCCAGTGAGGATTTTGCTAATTTCATAGCTGTTTTGGAAAATAACTTTAAAGCAGCTGAATAATGCACTATCTATTTTGTAATACAGATAACTTTCTATACGCTTGAGTTATTAATCATTACATTTTCTCACAGTTCCACAACACTCCTTCAGTGGTCAGTGCATATGTAAAGATTCTTGGCAAGTTTCTTTCTAAACAATGGGTGAGAAGGCATCATCAGCTTGACAGACACAGCTCCCTCTCTCATCCATGAGTAGCGCTGGCCCTAAAATTTCAATAGGACCATTTTCCATCAAAATGGAAACACTTGACATGATTTTGCTCACATTTTGTTTTAGAGGAAAACATGGAAGAATTCCTCTGAGAAGGCTGAAATGTCTTGTTTCAACATTTCTGGAATGAAACTTTTCAAATTTTGTTTCACTATATAATATAAAATAAAAAATACATCAAAATAAAATGAGATAAAAACATTTTGATCAATTTGAAACAATTTTTTCCCCCAAAACTTTTTTCAGAGAGAATTTCAAAATTTTGGGGATTTGTTCTGCATAGGAATGAAAACATGTTTCAAAATCTTGAAATCCTTTGTGAAACAAGTGTCTCATTAAGTGATCCATCCCGTCACTCATGCCCAGCTTCTGGCAAAACCAATGCTAAGGACATCATCCCTGCCCATCCTGGCTAATAGCCATTGATGGATCCATCTGCCAGGAATTTATCTAGTTCTTTTTTGAACCCTGTTATAGTCTTGGCCTTCACAACATCCTCTGGCAAGGAGTTCCACAGGTTGACTGTCGTTGTGTGAAGAAATACTTCCTTTTGTTTGTTTTAAGCCTGCTGCCCATTAATTTCATTTGGTGACCCCTAGTTCTTGTGTTATGAGAAGGAGTAAATAACACTTCGTTATTTACTTTCTCCACACCAGTCATGATTTTATAGACCTCAATCATATCCCCCCCTTAGTTGTCTCTTTTCCAAGCTGAAAAGTCCCAGTCTTTTTAATTTTTCCTCATATGGAAGCTGTTCCATACCCGAATCATTTTTGTTGCCCTTTTCAGAACCTTTTCCAATTCTAATATATCTTTTTTTGACATGGGGCGACCACATCCCCACACAGTATTCAAGAGGTGGGCCCGGGAACTCTGCAAGCTCAGCCTATGGTCTGAAAAAATGCCTGAATTTTATTGCCAGCTGGATACATCATGGCTATTTCACCCTCAGCTTTTGGAAGACCTATGTCTTGTTTTGGGTATTAGACATTAATAAGCAGAGACATTAAAGTGGAATGAGTCTGTTTGTATAAAAAGGATTAGTTCCAATACAGTGAGTTATTTTAAGAATACATACTGGTCTCCCTTTTTGCTAGGACTTCTAAACAAAAATCACATCTGATGTGATATGCAAGTTTCCTCTCCAGCCTCTGTTACACCATTTGTACTCATGGTGTCCTTATTCTGTGACTATCTCATAACAGCAACACATGCCCTTGGAATCTCAAAAGCCTCATTTATTCTAAATTTTTCTTTGAAGGGCTCTCAGCAGAGATTCTCCATTGCTTGCTTGCAATGGCAAAACTGCTGATTGGTTTTAGCTAACATGACCATATTATGCTGACCTTGTATGTTATATATGGGCTGCCTGCAAAGAGGTGGACGGACTGACTTTAAATTGACACAACTGATCTTTAAAATTATTAGTGGTGCTAGTGCTGGCTATATTTGACAACTGCTTCTACAGGCTAATACTGATGATTATCTACCATATCTTCCTCAACATTTTTAAAGATCACATTTTAAGGTTACAAGTGATGTGCTGGACTCTATGGTGTAGAACACAGACCCCCATAAAATCCAGCTCACTTTAATCACCTCACTTGTAAAAATATTTTGGGAGGAAAATATTTTGGGACTATAACCTCCCCTTCTAATCCATTTCAGCTACATAATATGTGTGTGCATATAAGCAAGCCCCCTTCATTTGTTTCTAGGAGTTTGTATTTTAGCAGGGTATTTTACTATATTCCTATATGTAGTTTTCTTTTGTTGTACAATGTCGTGTGGTATGGAAACAGCGCAGGAGCTGCTCCTGTGTTCCCTCCACAGGAGGCAGGGAGAGGCCGGGGAGATAGGGTTGGAAGAGTCTATAACCACTTGAGCACACTCTCTGGGCCTTGCAGAACCTGGAACTGAACCTGTTATTCCTCAGTCTCAACAATCCTTTGCTGTCTAGCAAATAGCTGTGAAACCAACTGGTCAAGTGTGTCCATCCCACTCTTGGGGCAGGTCCATATAGAAGACAGAAGCCTTGCACCAGTACCAGTTACTCCATCAGTTCAAGTGGTAGAGGATTGTGCTGTGAATCTGATTATCCCTGCTGATGGCCAGGTTGGGAGTCAATATAGTTCCATACTATATATTTTTAAAAAAATTATGAAATTACAGTAAAAAACTTACATTAGGATGGACAGACTGCTCATTGAATGGCAGATATGTTTATCCTCATCATTCAATGTGAGGCCCTATGCATCATTTACTGCACACCATCCAAAACCTGCACTTAGTACAGAATTATTTAATTTCCCCAAGCGTTTTTCTATGGTGATCTCAAAATAACATCTTAGTTCTTTACAAACATTAATGAACTATCTTCACAAACGCTGTGAGAGGTGGGGATATTATCATCCCAATGCTACACTCGGGGGACCGAGGCACAGAGATTAAGGCCAAAATTGTTAACTAGTTTTGGTTGCCCAATTGGAGATGCGTGGGGTCTGATTTTTCAGTGTTCTTAGCATTTTATAGCACTCTGTGTGTTCAGAGCAGAGCTCCCACTGTCCTGAATTGTAGTTAGGGACTACAGACCCTAGCTGACACCCAGACACCCAGAAAATGAGGACACATGGTGACCCCCTGTGCACATTTTGGTTTAGGGACTTGCCCAGCATCATTAAGAACTCTGTGGCAGGGGCAGGGATAGAATCCAACTATCCAGGGCAGCATTCAACTGCCTTAACCTTTCTCTTTGTACAATCCCCTGCCTCATTCACTACATATCTTTCAACTTCTGCAACAAAATGAGACAGGGTACTATGGACAAAAGCGTCCTTTGCTACATTACCCTTACTCATCACCAGAGCAGGTACATTCTGTGCAGTGAATGAGGCAGGGCTCCAGTGGCAAAACACAGTATGTGATCGTGTAATTAAAAGACCATTGTAATGGCTGCATACTGGGGGGGTCGAATTAAGGTTGCACAGACAACATTAATTCTGGCATTTCTTAGCTTCAGAATGCTCGACTTTGTAACCTTAATGTACTTTAAGTTATATGAAACTATATCAGAGTTATTTGGTAATAAGCTGCAGTAAACCTGTTTTATTCTTAATTACAAATGTGCACGACAACCTAACAGTGCCTTTGAGTTATTCTCCCACCAGAGTGCAATGACAAAAATTAACTATGCATTAGACAAAAATTTCAAACTTGAAATTATGGATGGAACCTGGAATTTTCTTCTCATAGCATTAAGTAACAAACTATTAAAGCAATAATCTTTACAAAATTATTTACAAATGCTGAGAACTATTACCTTTGGAAAATCCCAACTTTTGCGTAACAGTTCTTGCAATTTTAGATGTTGTTGCATCACTGTAAAGATACACTTCATCTACACTGTGCCAGTCCACGTGGTTGCGACTCAACTTGAAACTATGAACAGCTGTAGCAAAAAGGAACAAACCTTTAATTTAAAAGTGTTAAAAAAATATGGCTTTAAAAACCCAGGTAAGAGAGAGATGCACATAGGTATGACTGAACTCTAGATTTCAACTTAAGTCCATGTATAAAGGTAAATGTTTCTTCTTACCTTTATATTTTGGATCTACCAGTCCATATCAATTGGGTAGTTCCTTTTGGGAATCCTCCCACACCCTTTTTTTTGGGGGGGGGGGAGGGGAGAGTAGGGAGGAGAGGCTCCCTAAGGGAGAATACCCTTAGCTGAAAGGAAAACATGAATGCTCTCTCTCTCTCTCTCACTCACACACACACAAATTCTGCCACACTGCCCAAGAGCAAAAAGAAAAATTGAGATCCACATCCACAAGGTGAAAGTGTTTGCTGAAAGCTGTACCATTGAGACACCGGGGGGCTGAGGTGGATGCACCTCCCAAAATAATGCTTGAGTAAGTTGATGCAGTGGTAGGTGTACGCTTGTGCTCATAATGTTACACTCATGCCATCTGTTTGTACAGCTCGTAGGCACTATGGGGTAATACAAACAAATAATAATGCTAATAATGAACATTCTTTCCGGTCTCCATTACTAGCAATGAATGTTAACACATGCAGTCACTTTGGGGACCATATCGTACTAAGTTTATGAATGTTTTATGTATTTTGTGGGCCAGTGATTGTAAGCTACTCTATTGGGTGTGGGGGAGGGTTACCACTGTTCCTCCAAGAACTGAAAGGGTGGAAAGACTTAGGCTTATGAGAGCCCCATGAGATAGAAAACATACCAGGATCCACCTAAGCGTAAAGAAAGCATTAAAAGTTTCTATAAGCTTTCTCTGTAATGCTTTTAACCGAAGAATAAATTTATTTTGCTTTGTGAAAGCTGGTTGGTAATTAGTATACACCACTGCAGCCCTTGGAGAAAGGTTAACCACAGTTGCTGGACCTGGGTCAGATTTGCTGGGGAAATCACAGTGAGACGCAGAGGGACTGCACCCTGAATCTGGAGAGGAAGAGACACATGGGTCTCCGTCTGAGAGAGGCGACAGCCAGGAAGCCCAAAACCTTGATGAAGACTGAGGGGTTGAGGTGGTGGTGGCGGGGATCAAAGATAACCCTGAAACTGGGACATATATAGTGGCATTTATGACGGTGGGGAATTGCCAGTGAAGTGCCAACAGCAGCGAAAGCAAGTACTATAGAAGGGAAAAGCACAGAGAAAAGTCTCAGTCTTTTCAAGACTGGAACAGCGAAAAGAGATGGTAAAATGAGTTATGAACAGCTGAAAAAAGGTTGTCTAATTGAGATATGCAGAGAAAGGCAACTCATCTCTGAAGAAAGGACAAAGGCATAACTAATCAACTTGTTATACTCTGGAGGACCAGAAAAAAGAATGATGGTCTAGGACAGTGGTAAGCAATCGGCGGTCCATCAGGGTAATCTGATTGCGCGCCGTGAGACATTTTGCTAATGTTGACCGCCCGCAGGCACGGCCTCCTGCAGCTCCCAGTGGCTGCGGTTCGCCGTTCACAGCTAATGGGAGCTGCGGGAAGTGGGGGCCAGCATATCGCTGCGGCCTGCCGCTTCCCACAGCTCACATTGTCTGGGAACAGCGAACCACGGCCACTGGGAGCTGGCGGGGGGGGGGGGGGGGGTGGTGGCGTGCCTGTGGACGGTCAACGCCATCAAAATGTCTCATGGCCCGCAATCTGATTACCCTGATGGCTGCATGAGGCCCACAGGTTGCCCACCACTGGTCTAGGATCACAGAGAACATCCAGCCCACTGTCAGAGTCCAGCAGGCGGGGAAAATCTTGGAGACACTAGAAGGGATCAGGGAAGAGGCAGACAGAGACAGCAGCCATGTTCTATCCAGAACAAAGAGATACTGGATAGATCTACAGTTAGAGCAACAGAAGCTGGATGGGGACATGGTGTGTCTGGAAACCCAGCTGCTTGCTGGCAGGGAAGGAGAGAGAGAGAGAGAGAGAGAGAGCAGTCTGGGAGAAGCAGCATCAGCACAAGGGGGAGAGAAGGACAAGGAACGTCAACATGAGCTCGAAATGGAGAGACTGCGCCAGTAAAATACTGATCCAGTAGGTGGATCCAAACCCCATATACCCAGTGGATGGCACAGACTCCAAATTATTTCCTCACTTTAGAGAAGAGGATGATATGAATGTGCTTCCAAATCCTTTTGAAATGGGATATGAATTGAACAAGATGGGACGTAAGGACATGGTATGGGGTCTGGCTCTGCTACTGTCAGGGAAGGCCTTAGACACTTTCACCCATATGGACAGCGAGGGTGATAGAGATAATAGGCTCTATAAACAAGCTTTCTTGCAAAAGTTTAAATTGACCCCTCTCCCCCACGGGTACAGAAGTTCAGAAAACAGGGGATATGAACTATGATGAGGTTGCAACTTGGATTAGGGGATATATCAGAAAATGGAGAACTGGTTGTGAGGGTACCACATGCAAGTGATTGATTTCCTTGTCTACACCAGGATTTAGACTATTGACTAGGTTTTTTATGACAGGTGAAGAGGTGTCCTCTGTTTCCTATTTGAGGCCGCTGAAGAGGATTGCTTTCTGTTCTCATGAATTCATTCAGGGAAAGGTTGAACTATTATGCCTTGAACAATTACATTTCAGAGTTTAAGTCAATTACATTACAAGACCGCTACACAGAAATGAGCATTCATGCCCGTTCCTGCTGTATGATTTTTGGTCTCATTGTCAGGGTATGTGGGTATGCCATCTGATGATAAATTAAGTCAGCACAAAGGGCAGCAATGAATTAAAAGAGGATGAAAACATACCCATGATACAAAACTGCTTTTCAGTCAAATAAGTGAAACTATATAGTTGCTTGGGATTGGTGGCTCCAAAGGACAGAAAAATAAGTTTTAGTTCTGAAACAGAAGCAGAAATATTTTTAAGTGGCAGAAAAACCAAAGAGGAGGTATGTGGATTTAGGATGACCTTTGGCACGTGTAAAAGGCCACTTTATATAATCATTCAGTGGATTATTGAATGATACTTCCATTTAAAGTTAGCCACTGTAATCTTAGGACTCCATGCTCACTTTGTTTCTAAGAGCAGGTATGAGACCGTGTCCAAGGACCTCTGCTTGGAGTTGAGAAGGGAAAGGAGGGCTCCATGCCATACTTCTTCTTCATGACATCACCGAATTCCCTGTGTGGGGGCTGTGGCTCTGAGTTGGAAGGAGATTAGGAGGACTGGGAACAGAGGCAGACAACTTTCCTAGGTATCTCTGTGGAATTCTTTCCTCCCCAAAATCCATGATCACAGTAGTGTATATTTATTTCATACCAAGTCTGCAAGAACTGATGCTGCTTCCCAGTTCATGCTGTGGAACATCACACTGAAGTGAGTCTCTGGGGAAGCTGGGGATCAACTTGGAAATGTGGCCCCTGCAAATGCCATTATGTTCAGGTACTGTAGCAAGCTGGGATCTGGGTTAGGCAGCAGTGCAGTGGCAAGACACCTGTTGTGGAAGTTCCTTGCTTTTGGACAAATGGTGGCCTGGGCTGGCAGAATCCTTGACCTCTTCCTAGGACCAAACCCTGCCTTCCTAATGGCCGGATTCCACAGAAACGCCACAAGTTTCCACTAACCTACTTGGGTTATGGAGAATGGGGACCCCAACATTTACTGCTACATTATTCTCCAAAAAAGTATAGACTGAATGGCACCTTGTTTGCTTCCCAGCTGTCAAAGAGCAACTAAGAGCCACACACTAAGGGTGTCATAAGGAGGAGAGAGAAAACTTGTTCACCTTAGCCTCTAAGGATAGAACAAACAGCAATGGGTTTAAACTACAGCAAGGGAGGTCTAGG